AACCCACGAACATGGACCAAAAAATGGACAATGTACAGTACAGAACCTTGAGAAATTAAAAACATGACAACACAGAAGGCAGAAAGCATAATTTCAAAAAGAAGGAAAGTACTCATTCAGCACACACAGAAGTAAACAGTATTACTCTGGTAAACACGACAAACAGAATAGAGCCTGAAGAACCAAAACATCAAAACAGAAAACATTGGATCAATCTCTAAAAAAAGTTTGCAAAAAGCTCGACAATCATGTTACACAATGGGGATACGATATAATAAGCACAGGAACAAAAGCAAACGTGAGCCTCAAGCAACAAGAGCTGGGAATCTCGTACCTTGAATGTAGAGCAAATAAAGTTCAACATAGGTTAGAGCAAACACGAAACTCCATCCATTTCAACAATAAGTATGTAGACAAAGCTCGAGACTCTATTGCTCAGAACATACAGTTTTACAGTTACCGGCGGTCACTGGTTCATTTAACTTTGAACCCAGTCTTTTACACCTTCGAGCCTTTGAGTGCCTGCACACGATTCTTGCTTTCTGGTGGCAGGCATGCAAATTCGGTACTGCAGCTGGTGGAAAGGCTGCAGTTCCTGGAAGCAAATGGGAGGCTCAGGAGAAAGCATTGCGTGCAGAGCTTCCACTTCCAGAGCGTTGTTCGACCCCCTGGACGCCAGGGGCTCGCTTGCAAGGATTGGGCGGACGGGAGTGCCTGCAGCGCACAAAAGCATTGCTTGATGTCGCCTATTTGCATGCTCGACAACAGTTGCTCGCCAAAGGGAGCCCTGCCGAGAGGACAGATGTAATCCGTGGCCTCACTGTTGACGTTAGCCAAGCCATCGATCGCAGACCGTGGGGTCAGAGGACTCTGCTGGGGAGCACGGCCCTTTACTCTTTCGAGAGAGACCGAGTGATATTGCCTCTAGAATGCCTGCGCATGCTGGGATTTTCCACTGCATGTTCATTTCCCAGTTTGACACAGCCAGAAATGACAGACCTGGTGGGAAATGCTATGAGCCTCCCGAGTGTGACTGCCGTTGCTGCCAGCCTGATCGCTGCCGCAGCTGAGCACATGCCAGGCTTGCTTAGCAGCAGCAGCAGCAGCAGAGCAGGAGACCATGAGAGCATGGACTGCAGTGCCGTCTGATGCAGGATTCCTTGGACTTAGCCGACTTAGACTTAGCCTTCGGCTTCGGCTTACTAGTAGCGTACTAGCTTTATTACTGCTACCTGGTACCTTTCTAGCTGCTAGCTGGTAGTAGTTGCTAGTTACTCGTTACTAGCTGTAACTATCTGCTACCAGCTAGCAAGCTGCTGGCTGATATTAATATACATTATAAACTCTAGACTCTAGACTCTAGGCTACAGACTTCCCACTTGTGACAACTTGTGTCACATGTGACTTCGCAGCTCTGCAGAAGTAGTAAGTAGGTGACATTACATTATTACATCATGAATCATCAATCATGAATGGGAAGTGCTTGCCTTGAGCTCAAGCGTGAAAAGCTTCAACATCTATGCTATGGCCTATGGTTTATGGGTTCTATGGCTCGATGGCTTGTTGCGGCTTGTTGGGCCTTGTCAGCGACTGGCTGCTGCTTTCCGCTGCTTTGCTTGCTGCCTGTTACTGCTTGTTACATGTTGGCGGTGACTCGTCGGCCGGTCGGCTGCTTGTTCGAGGCGATTTTCCTTCTGGTTGGCTGCTTGGACTGACTAGTGACTAGTGAGTGACACTAATGACTAGTGATTGACTAGGTGACTAGGTCACTAGTGACTAGGTCCACTAGTCACTAGGCTACGTCTAGTCTGGGTTGAGTAGTGACTATTGACTACCTAGGACCTAGGTCACGAGGTCCATGTTCTGTTAGTCAGTTAGTCTGCTTGTCAAGAGTCAAAAGCTCACTTGATTCACTTGCTTTTATGACGTTCTATGACATGTGACATGATTCGACATGAGGGCAGTCTAGAAAATCTAGACTCTAGACTGCATGGGATCGGAGGAATCCATGTCAGGTGTCGACAGTCGACAGATTGACACCCAACGTGGAATGTGACACGGCTCAGAAGCGGTCGTTGCCACACTGTCACTGGCAAGCAAGCTGCAAGCTTCGGCTGTTGGCTTTTGTGCCGACCAGTGACCAGTGCTCTCTTTGCTTGACCTGCTGGGCCCGGGCCTGCCCCGTGAGTGTTGATTCTAAAGTCTAGCTAGCTGCTAGCTGCTGACTCCGCCCTAGGGCCCCTAGGGCCTAGAGCGTATGACTCTACGAGCGAAATTCAGCGAAGGACGGGGAAGGGCAAAGGCCGGCGGGCCCACGCAGAGCAGAAATCTTTGACCATGCCCTTGATTCGATTTGGATTTTTCGAAACCCGAGTCCAGGTGGTCTTAATTGGTAGTAAGTGTTACTGTAAGCGGTTAGCGGTAGCGGTTGGCGAGGAAGGGTTATTGGTCGAAGTATAAGTAGCCATGCCAGTGGTGACACGGTGGTCCTGGTAGTGAGATCTGGTAGTAACTGGAGTCTCCATGACCGGGTTCAGATCACGAGAGTTCCGTGCTGTGCTATTGTCTATTGTGCAGGGGCTTGTGTCTAGAGTCTGAGTCTAGAAGGGGAGTCTAGGTATGAGTCTAGGTATGAGTCTAGGTCGAGGTATAGAGTATGGAGTCCTAGTCAGCCCGACAAACTCTTCCGCCTGGTGCAGCATGGACTGCGGATCTAGCTAGTACAATTTGTGCAGTTTGTAGGCCTGTGACTGTAGGCCATGCAGGCTTTAATTTTCCATTGTCTGTCGTCCAAGACCAAGGCCATGACATGCGGCAAAGGCCTCGAGGGCTAGGGCCCAGGGCCGAAGGTGTAACGCTGTGTAGGGCATTGCTTCATGTGGATAGAGAATCTAGAATCTAGAGTCTAGACTGAGTCTATCAGAGATACCGGTTTGTTCCTCACGGATTTCGTCACTGTGATTAGTCATTAGTACCGAGTGAGTAGTATTGGTGACGTAGTCGTGTCAGCGAGTTGGTGCCTGTTTACTCATCAGACACCCTAGCCTAGCCAGGCTCAGCCGCAGAGCCATGTCGGCCATCTGTGCCTGGCCTTGCTGCCTTGCCGCACCTTGCCTGTTCGGCTTTTCTCAAGAGTCAACTGAGTATGAGTGGCCTGCAGGTGTGCTTGCCACGTAATGACGTAGTGTATTATCGAGTCCAGCCGGTCCAACTGTAGCTGCAGCTTTACCCAGTCACTCTGCTCAGTCAACAGTCGAATCAGGTCCTCTAGTCACTAGTCTAGTCTGCGCAGACGACTCCAGGCAGGCTGCAGAATCTGCAGATTGAAGATGTACAGGTAGACTCACTCAGGTAGACAGGTAGACTCGACTGACTCCAGGTAGACTCGTAGATCGACGTAGACTCTAGACTCAGACGTAGACGTAGACTTAGATTTAGACCTAGACCTAGACATAGCGTCATGGAGTCATAGAGTCAGACGCACGTAGACGACGTAGACGTAGACTCAGACTATATGCTATAGACTAGAGTCATAAAGCCTAGACAATTGACAATTGTACGGTGTACGTAGACGTCGATGTCCAGTAACGTAAAATCTGCTGGTTTGTGCCTTGTGTCCGCGCATACCTAGGACCTAGGACCGAGAGTCAGATTGTGATGTACAGACTTTAGACCGAGAACCTACGGGCCCCGGGTATTATTAGAGTTATTAGAGTCTTAGAGTGCTATTAGCAGAAGTGGCCTGAGGAGTGATTACGTGCAGGAATCAGCCAATCAATCCAAGCATTCCAACATCAGGTCTGCTGACTGATGAGTCCCATGTCGGTTTTTCAATCACACAGAAGCCACGCTTGCAGCTTGCAGTCGCTTGAATTATGCTTGAACCTTTCGAGTCTGAGGCACTGGAGTCTAGAGTCTAGAATTGCTCAGGAGGCAGTAGAGTCAGTAGAGTCGCTGGCACTAGAATCAAATTCCCTATATATAGGTAATATAGGTACATCAGTATAGGGTCATCAGTTTCAGTTCCAAGCCAAGCGGCGCAAGCGGTCCAAGCAAGTGAGCAAGCAAGTGCAGCTGTGGTTCACTGGTCTGAGGTCTGGAGAGAAGAATCTGGAAGCAGTCGAGTCAAGTCTACTCAACATCAAGTCCTTTCAAGCGAACTGGTGTCACATTTGGCAAACTTTGGATCATTGCAGGACTGGGTCCGGTTGCATCCTCGTAATCAGTTTTTGTCCCTTTGTTTAGCAACTCGAATCTATGTAGAGTCTAGAGTCTAGAGTCTGGAACGTGGGTTTTTGGGCATGCCTGTTAGTGTGCAGAAGCTGTCAGAAGTTGCGCCTCATGATAGTAATAGTCATAGTACATCCCAACTGTCCCAACTGTTCCTGTCCTAACCAGTCACGTCGATTCAAGGCCCTCAGATCTGATCCCACACGATCCGACTTCAGAACCCAAGGACCATGGACCTTGGACCTTGGCCACGGTTCGTTGGAAGTCTTAAGTCTACTACAGTTATGACAGTTATGATATGACATATGACTGAGTATGAGTATGAGCATGACTATGACTATGACTATGAATATGACTATGACTGGGACAAGTGACAAGTGGGTACTCTGGGACTGATTATTGACTGGGCTAGTGACTAGTGACAAGGACCTCGAGGACCCTAGGACCCACGACTCTAGGACCCTAGGGACTTAGCCCCGCAGAGAACAGTGGTGATGGCCCATGGCCCATGGCCGATTAGTTTGGAGGATCAAGCGGAATCAAGCGGCTGGGCCGGATCGATGGGCTCTTGGGCGGCTGAGCTTTCCGCGTGAAAGAGCGATGATCATTGCTGGGGCGGCAGATAGCAGCTAGCAGTAACCTGATTCGACAATATGGCAACGGGCAGGTTTCTGTTATTCTGCCACCGTCTGATTGATCTTGCAACACAGGCGTAGCAGCGTAGGAGCAGCAGCTTCGTGATCGTGTGAACCGTTTGGGTTTGCCGGGCCATGGACATTTTTGACGACGAAGAGCCACCCGTCCGAGAAGCAGACGCAGACCTGGGGAATCCAGACCGTAGCAAGCGATCGCGAGAGGAAGGAAAAAAACACAAGAAGGACAAGAAGGACAAGGACAAGGATAAGAAGGACAAGAAGCACAAGCGGGGGAAAGAAAGCAAGTCATTGGCCAGTGATGACTCTTTCTTTGATGGTATGCTGCAGGGCTCTGCCAGCGAGGCTGAGATGAGTCAGGATTGCCGGCCCGCAGAGGCATCCAAGAAAGCCAAGACAGACGCCCACGGAATGCCGTCCATCTCTTCGGATCCCAAGCCAAAGCCATTGTCATTGTCATCCTCTCCGAAGCTGCCTAAGCCACCATCGGATTGTGAGGTCATAGATGAGGAGGGGAACCTTTTGACGGGCGGCAGAGCTATGCCAAAGACACAGGTTCTCAAAGTTTGGGGCCTCGTAGTGCACCACTGCGGCAATCTCACTTGTGAGCTTTGTGACGAAGTGGCCGTGCACGTGCAGCTGAAGCAGCTGGTGCGCGAGAAGACTGGGCAGGGGAAGGCCGGCGGGCAGCAGGAAGATAAAGCTGAGAAACCAGATTTCAGGTTGGAGACTCCAGAAATCTAGAGACTCTACAGACTCTATCTATATAGAGTCTATAGTCTAGAGTCTAGAGTACTGTAGACTAGATGACTAGACTCTGGACTTCGAGACTGGAGTTGGATGAATGGATTCCTGCGTGGGCGCCAAGGGTCAAGGACGCAAGATTTAGCGGATTTAGCGGTGGATTTGTTTAGAGTGTCAAGTCAGCGTCTGCAGTACACTTCACTACACTGTCACTTAACCAGAGCTTGCTCTATTCTAGCTGAGCTTAGGCCCTGGGCCCCTACAGGCCCGACAGGCCGTGACAGGCCCTAGGCCTTAGGCCCAGAGTCTGGGAACTATTCATTGGTCACTCAGAACTAGTTTGAATCCATTTCTCTGGTGACTTTTGACTTTTGGTCCCCTCGGGTTCTCGTTACTGTTACTTGAGGTCAGTCAACAGGTCCTTAGGTTGCGTTTACGACGACGGTTTGGTTCGGTTTGAGTCGATGATGTTCTCCCCAGGCCCTAGCCCTAGACCCTAGGCCCTAGACTAGCCTCCAGACCAGTGACCAGTGACCAGTGATTGACCAGGTGGATGTGACGGTCCGGCCAAGTGGCCCGGCGTGGGCCAGTTGGATGGTTTTCTTTGTTGAGACCTTGAAAGTGAAGCTTCCGCACGGTGGCTTCTGCCAGGTCTGCTCCCGCACTGCACAGAAGAGCTTCCCGGAAGCCACACTGGCCGTGCTGAGTGCGCGGAGGAAGGACACCAAGGACCCGATTTTTGCCGAGGTCTTTGCAAGGGCTCGCACTTACCACCTGCAGCCGGATGCCTACAAGCCATTCCGTGAAGAGTGTCTGGACACCGTGCATAGAACAGGATCCAAGGTGACAACGCATTGGATTTTCTACAGCTTGGAGGAGTTTGAAAACGAGTTCGACGTCAAGGCCGATGTTCACCACCAGTTCGCCCACTTGCTCACGACCGAGGTTGACGAGTTCGGCAATGAAATCCAAGGCATCGTGCTCCGAGACCCAGAGAAGCCCTTCAGGCGACTCGAGCGGTACAGTGTGCACGAGTACGTGTACAAGGCCGGATCCTGCAAATTGCCTATAAAATTTAATAAATTATAAATTCGCCGAATGATTAGCCTGATTAGCCAGCAGCTCGCAGCCAGCAGTTTCTCTATCTCTATTAACTCTATTAATGTGTTGAATTGTCTATTTCTTTCGCGGGGCAGACTCGGGGGTAGAGGTGGCTTCACGCAGGATCCGGAATGTTGTGATGTGCGATTGGTCCGATTGGTTTAAGCCGAATGTGTGGCAGTGTGGGATTCAACAGGGAGACCAATCCAGGCGACGTGGCCAGGTTTGGAGTTTGGATCTAGCTTCCAGGCCATATCCCAGGATGTGTGAAGTCTTGTCATGTTGTACTATTATAGTCAGAGTCCCAGGCGAGCCGAACTTTCTTTTTTCATATAGTCCCCGAGTCACGAGTCCCAGAGTCCGGACGTCAGTGAGTCCAATCACTCTCAGGTCCCATGTCACACCTTAGGACTAACTAACGGTTAGGACGTAAGACTTCGACTCAGACGACACTCTAGGGCCCTAGGGCCTGCCTGCCATCACGTGAACACTTGAGCAATCTTCTCCATGTCGAGTCGATGTCAACGGATGTGTTGCAGCGAAGCATCCCGCTCAGGACGTGCAGCTCGCTCCCTCCAATTGCCTGAGGGCCAAGCAGGGGATGGAGTCCTTCGGAGCGTTCCAGCGAGCCCATTCGTCCTCGAAGAAACCATCGGGACTGCCGCTCACTCCGGCTGACGTGAGAGCGATGCGGCCACAACTCTTGACCGATCTCCAGGTCACACAGCCAACGGAAGGGTCCTTTAGCTTGTAATCGGTTTGTCAAGTTTCTTGGAAACTTGATTTTTTTGGGTCAGGTGCAGCAGGAAGACAAGGCTTTGAAAGACTTGGACAAAATGATGGACTTGGGCCTGGATCCGTCCGGTCAGGTGCGGTTCAATAGCAGTAACATGTTTGCGACTTCGCATCCGTCCATGTCCTTTCATCCTGAGTTTTGTGATCGGGCATTGCAGCATGGCTCACTGTGACTTGCCGATTTTTGTGCACTTGCAGGAGAAAGCTGCAACGCCTTCGTTCATCGAGACCGATCAAACCCAGCCTGGCTTGGCATTGCCTGGGATGGATGACAGAGCTCAGGATGATGTCGGTCCACACGCCAAAAAGCGCAAGGAGAAGGAACCGAAGAAAGGTCTCACGGCTGCTGCGAAGCCGGATGCGAAAAAAAAACGAAAAAAGACAAAGATGCTCCCGAGCAGCGGAGTGTGACGTCGGGGACAAAGGGCCAGGCCAACGTCGACAAGCTGGTTGCCGAACAGACAGAGCTACTGGATGTCAGGAAAGTCCTCGCAGGCGACGTCTCGAAGCAGCAGCTGTACTTCGTGCAGCGGAGCATCAACACCTTGGAGAAGAAAGGCTTCAATGCAGACTCAGTGGAGCTCGAGAAGCATCACCAAATCGCGACAGCCGCCTTCATGCTCACACCGGCAGAGCTTGCCCAGTTGCCCAGCGAGCAGATCCAGGCGGGATAGTTTGGCTTTTGACTTTGTTGCATTTGGCTTGCGACAAATGGCCCGTATCAGATGGACTCAGATACACTCCCGACTCTAGACTCTAGACTCGTACTCACAGTCCTGTACAACTAGGGCCAACAATAAATAGGGCTTCCAATTCTAAATATTCCAGCTGAAAAGCCCTTAACACCAGGCCAACGCTACCGCTACAGTGGGGCCACGAGTCAGTAGGGCAGTAGGGTGAGGGTAAGCGGGTAGCGGGACCTAAAAACAGAGCTGCGCCTAAGTCCTAAATGGCTAGGGCCGCACTGTTTTTTGTTCTATCCGACTCGGGGCCTGGCCGCCTCGGACCCTGGGCTTGGGCCGGGCCTTGGCATTGAGCCTTGGGTTTGGGCGGTTTGGGCTTGGATTCTTCTTGGGCCGCCCGAAGCCGGGGTTCTGCAATCATGGTTGAATACTTGTTAGTTGTTTATCTTGTTTCATTCCTCTGACCTTTGCGGCATGTCTACAACGCTGCGATGACGTTCGTAACGGCTTTCATCTTACAGTCATTACTCATACTCAATGGCTCAATGGCTCAATGGTTTAGTTTAGGGCCTAGGGTTGAGGGTTTAGGGTTGAGATTGAGGGTTTCGGGAAGTTTAGGCTTGATGGTTTAGTGGTTTAGGGCTTCGGCTTTACGGAATAGGGCCGGGGGTTTTAGACTCTCGACTTTTGACTGCTGCTCTTGCCGCTTGCCTCCGAGGAACGCTTTTGCTTAAATCGGTCATTTTCAGTTGAGTCCGGAGCCAAGCTCGTTGCAAACGGTTTCTGAGACAGCTGCTTCTGGACTTCTGCTGCCACTGCGTCACTGCGTGCTACACTCACTACAGATGCTGCGAGGGCGGACAGTTACTTACTAGCTTACTGCGACTAGCTGCTACTGCTTGGCCTGCAAATCTGCAGCCTGAGAGTTGGACCACATGAGGGCCACCAGTGAGGTCACCAGCGCAAAAATGATCTGGATTCGGCAGAGGGGAGTCTAGAATCTAAACCCAGTTGTTGCGAGTGGCTGCGTAGGTTCTAGTAGTTAGTAGCTTTCAATAATAACAATAATAATTAGTATTATTATTGTATTGCAGACTGTACACGTTCGTCGTGACTTCTCTAGATATTCTAGATTCTTTCAAAGCAGCAACAAGAGAAACCGGACAGCTTCTGACAGCAGAATGGTTTAAACAATTAGGGCTACGGGGACACGCAGTGCTACAGTCTACAGGGTCTACAGCGCCGTAGCAGCAACATAAAATCCTCCTAGTCAAGGCCCTAAACCTTAACTAAACCATTCTGCTGTCAGAAGCTGTCCGGTTTCTCTTCTCTGGTTGTAGCCGTAGCCCTAACTGCCGCAACTGTGACTGTCAGTGGCAACTGTCGCGATTAGCGGCTAGCGGTATTGTAGCTGTGTAGCTGCTGTGGTTCTGTCATATCACATGCCACAGGTCCGGTCATATCCCTTGGCCGTAGCCGTGTCCCACCGGCAGGTGCATGCTGAGCTGGTGCACGACCACATCAAAGGGTCCGACGTCCCCAAGCAAGTGCAGCTTGCACTCGTGAGCCGAGTTTCCAAGGAGGCCGACCCCGAGAGCGAGCGGTACTGGAAAGCGATATACCCAGTTCCAGTGCCCGCCATCGGTGACACAGCAGGTGAAGCCGAGGCCAGAGGGGCCAACGCAGGACATACGAATGAGTAAGACCAATCAGCAATCACAAATGCGAAACCCTAGGTCCTAGGTCTGAGGCTCGTGAATCTGGGACTTTAGGGCCCAGAGGCTCAGAGTCTAGAGTCTAGTCACTCCAGGACCCCTCGAGTTGTAGTTGTCCATGACCGTGGTTTACTCTGCTTCAACACTTCCATAGCTGCTGAAGCATTGCAGGGTGACTGTTCTGCGGCCTCGTGTGTTTTCTATTTGTTCTCCCTTGAATGTTGAGACTTGTGACTTTGGTGACTCGTGTGATTGTGCAAATGTTGCAGCACTGCCTGAGGGCAAGCATGACGGTTTCAACATCCTCGAGCCCATGCTCAAGGATTGCAATGCAGTGGAGCTGTCGGACAAGATCAAGGTCTTCGAGAAAGCCGTTTGGAGCAAGGTCGTCGGACTGATCAAAGAAGGCAAGCCTGCGCAAGACAATCTTTGCTCTTGCAGCCGGCAAGGGCAGCTCATGCTCTCGAAGTTGTGGGAGGCCGCTTCCACCACGGAGGCTGCCAAAGCTGCTGCGAGCAGCATCAGGGCGGCTCAGACGGCTCTGACGGCAATCGTGGCGATAACATCGAATGGTGCCATGCTTCTGGGCGACACGGCGGGTGACAAAGCAAGCACGTCGCTGCAGGACCCCCAAAGGGCCGTCAAGGAGTTGGAAGCAGAGAAGAACAACTCATCCGTGCTGGGAATGTTGCTTGGTCAAAGAGTCTATGTCTATGTCCATGTCGAGTCTATGTCTATGTCTATGTCAACGTCAATGTCATGTTGAAGTTTAAGCTTAGCTTGGAATCAGAGTCAAGAGTCAAGTGGAACGGCTTATTGACGTGCGACCTTATGACCTTGTATAAATTCTCGTGCGGTATGTTGGACTTTGGATTTTGACGGCATGTTGCAACCCAGGATTGGCCAGGCCTTGAAGACCAGTGCACACTACAAGGCAAGCGGCAAGAGCAGCCAAGCGACCAAGTGAGATGCCGTCTTCCATTTGTGATCGAGACTTACACTCAGTCACTGGTCACTAGTCACTAGTCATGAGTAGGACCAGCATACTTAGGACCCGGGACGTAGTCTAAAGTCTACAGTCCAAGTCCAGTCGAGGCTTGAGTCAAGGGCTCGTTGATTGCAAGGCTATTAGCTAGTAGCTGGTGCCAGTCCTTATGCACCCTTTGCCTTATGTGCATAAACACGATGCAGTTTCTACGTTGTAACGTAGCTAGCTTTGATAAAAAATATTAGAACGAGTGATCCGGCTTTTGTTGCTTTTGACAGAGGAGCGGTGCTATATTCAGTAGATTCGCTGATGAATGGCTCCTGCAGGAGTTGCTTCGTGTTTTCTGGAGCTACGCTTTCTCCGAGGAGACGGTGGCGGGGGAAATGAGGGAAGCCCTGACTGGACTCTCGAAGCTCTTATCTCTCCCTGACGAGCTCACTGGTGATGCCCCCTTGCAGCAGGCCCGTCTTGCAGCGGTGAGCGCGGCTGTCGATGGCATGAAAAACTGGGCGAAGGCCACGAGACCGGGCACTACGCTTGGGTTGCAACACAAGGCGTACAAGGCCTTGTCAGACGGCGTGGAGGCGGTCTTGCAGAGCGGCGACGGCTCGGCCTCGGCTTCGGCATTGCAATGGGCCGAGCTTTGTGCGAAGGCTGAGACAGACAACGTTTTCTTCGAGTTGAAGGACGCTGACTGCCAGGACTTTCTTCGCCGGTCGGGTGCTTCGTTGGATCCCTTGGTCCAGCAGGAGGCAGTCAGGCAAAAGAAATCCGCCCTCATCGCGAGCTTGTGTGACGCACTGTCCGGTAAGCTGGACGGAGACCAGGAGCTCTTGAAGGATGCGGTGGCTTACAGTCAATCGCTGAGCAAGCTATGCAGTGATTGTGCCGGCATCTTTCTCACAGAGGAAGACTTCAAGAGCTGCGGTGGCCATGGTGAACTGGACTTCGCACAGGCTCCACCAACCTGTGTTGGGCAGTCAATCTTATGTGCCGGGTTCATGGGGCTTTGCGTTTGAATCATTTGAGAATCAGTGTACAGTCTAGACTTATTCTAGACTCTAGACTAGACTGGAGTCTAAAATCTAGATTCCAGAGTAGAGAGTGTGTAGAGTCTAGGACTTAGGACCTAGGACCTAGGAGTCTAGCAGTCTAGCAATCTAGCAGCTAGTGAGTGATAGCGGCTAGCGGTTATTATGGTGAGTCGTGCGTGTCAATCAGCACACGTGAGGACTGTGCCGCCATTCTTTCAGAAACCCTAGCCCTACCTGGAGGCCCTTTTGACTTAGTAAGTAGGGTTAGTAAGGTGGGTTATGGGGATTATAATAGGGTTTCTAGGGGATACTGAGTAGACTTACTAAGTCAACAGGGCCTCCAAGTAAGCCTAACCGTTACCTAACCCTAACCGCCCTAACCCAAGGCCCAAGGCAAAGTCCCACGGCTGGCGGACTTTATCTAGGCCCTAGGCCCTTGACTCTCTTGGGTCCGGGCCGTCTAGCGGTCTAACCGTGTGGCCCTTCAGAGTCTACTGAATCATGGACTCCTGGATTCCGTCGACTCCTGAGGGTCCAAGGGCTTAAGGGGAAGTTGGAGACTCTGGTTAAACGATTAGACAGCTGCAGAGTTGTTAACATGTCTTGAAAGCCCCGCATGTCTTGAAAGCCCCGCAGGTCTGCTTCAGTGTGGTGCAGAAGTTGCTATGCAGTGGCAGGACGTTCGGGCAAACCGTGGACAAACTATCGCGACTCTTGCCAGGGCCACCAGGGAAGGAAAAGAATGAGATGAGTGGGGTGGCAAGCGCTTTCTTGGAACTCAACAACTTGGCCAAAGCTTTGAGCGCTTTTTCGAAGCTTGGTGGAGACAGCCAAAGCATTGCGAATCACGAAGACTTCAAGACAACAGAGCAGAGCCTGCGTGCTGTTGTGTTGAGGGCGACCCAGGCTGCCCAGAACTCTGATGCTTTGCTCAAGGACTTGTCACCTGCCGCAAAGCTGGTGGAAGAACGCTGGATGCAGTGCAAAGTGGACTTGGACTCAGCCGTGCAGAAGGCCTCCGCCAAGCTGGCTGAAGTCCGGGAGTTTGTGGTGAGCACGGCTGCTGACAAGCTCAAAGGCCAGATCACATCCTTGCAGGTGTACCAGTACGGCTGTGATGGAACAAGTTGGAAGGAGATGTATGCGGCGGATGCAAAAGATCCAATGCCAGCCGCAACGAAATGGGTTGAGGAAACCTTCCCGAAGGTCGAGGGGAAGATCACAAGCCTTTTCAAGCCGGCAAAGGCCGGCTACCAAGCCTTGAAGACTTTGCTCGCCGATTATGGAATCAGCGCTGAGCAGGACAAAGCGCCATGGGACACATTGACTGGGGCCAAGGATGTGCTGAGTCACGCGATGGCGACTGTGTGCGAAGCGTTGCTGATTCAGGCCATCAATCATCCCGAGAATCCTATCGCTGCTACGAGTGAGCAGCTGAAGCGGATGATGAGCAACCGGTTCGCAAATGACGAACTCGGATACAAACAGCACATCGATGCAACAATCGTCAGCAAGGCCACGGAGATCTCCAGACAGTAGCGGAGTGGCGGAGTAGCGGCAACGTGGCATCGAGCAGAAGTTAGGGTCTTATCAGAGTCTTATCGCGTTATCAATGATTAAGGTCAGTGTCATTCTTATCATAGTCATAGTCACTATCACTAGCCTTACACTAGCCGCTGTCACTTGTCACTAGCCGTACCTGCCTCGGCATCCCTTGGCCACCTGAAACCACAACCCCACGTAGATGTAGAGCCCAGGTCTCGACTCTAGACGCTGGACCTAAACTCTACTCTACACTCGGACCCACTCCAACAGCTACACGACCTACACGTAGACTGTTAGACCTGAAGCTTTCAAAGCCATGGACGTTCGAGCTATAGACTCATTGTTTCATGGTAAGGGCCGAAGCCTGAATGCATGAGTCCTTGAGTCCTTGAAACCCCACAAAATTAAATCAAACACTGAAGACCCAAAGTTCACGCGTAAGTTTCAGCCCTAAATGAGTCATTAGTCCGAACCCAAACCGCCCAAACCCGCAAACCGTATGTGCGAGCCTTAAAGCCTTAAACCTTACAGCCTTAGAGTTTAGAGTTGGGTGAGTTGTGTGCCGATTTGGAAGACATCTGCTCCTCGCCACGCCGCCGTAGCGGCCAAGGCTTTGCTGGCTGCTAGCTGCTAGCTGCTAGTTCTAGCTGACTTGCGCCTGGTCTTTTACAACATTTTCTGCCTTTGCACGGCACCACATCGGGATGCATCACCGCCCTGTCAGTCTTCCGACCATGCTGCACAGCACTGTTTGACGAGGCCATTACTAGATTCCTAGATCTACATTGCTAGGTTACTAGAGTTTCTAGTGAGTAGTGGTCAGTAAATAGGAATGCTCAGTATCAAACTTGGTTTTGGTGTTGTAGTGACGTGATGTAGTGAAGGGATGTCGTAGCGCCCTTAAAGGACGAACAGAGTATCACTCAGCTTCAGCATGGAAGATTTACGGCGGGCAGGCTTAACAAACGGACTTACAACGCAGACGACGTAGACGCAGATTCTAAACTCTGAACTCTAATTTTCAAACATTGCCCCGCAATGTCTTTCCTCATAAGTGAACTTGGCCCTATGCCCTATACCTATAGACCTACAGCCACTATTATAGCCGTTATAGCCTTATAGCCATGTAGCACCATGTATATTATAGTCAGTACTCCTCCGAAAGGTTCAGGCCTTGATTAGATGATTAGACTTAGACTCCATTTAGCTTTGGATCGTAATTTGACATTACGGGCTAGTTGGGGGTCGGATTTCAGTGCTGTCGCACAGTGCAGCCGTGTTTGATGATGGAAGCTTGAGGCTTTTAAACCGTGACCTGACTGCCGCTGCCAGATCGTCCGAGCACCGCAGTCGCCAAAACAACCGTGGAAACTTGTCGAAGCTTGCAGCTTGCAGCTGTGTGCACTTCACGTGTCACTACGTACGACTGTCACGACACCCACTACACACTTGCAGCTTACACCTTAGGCCGTGGAAGCTCTGAGACTCGCAGGCCGTCCCAGTACCCGTGCGCTTGTTGCACAAAGCCGGGTATTTTTAGCAGATTCGAGTTTTCCATGACATCGGATGATCGACTGATAGATTCAGCTTCACAGACGGGGGGTGGGGGGTCGCCGCACCTTGCGACCTTGCGGAGCTGGGGCCCTTCGAGTCCGTTTTTCTTCGGAGACGGTTTCTTCGTCCATGCTGTTGTCCTATAGGTCCTATCTGCCCTGCCCTATGTCCTATGTCATTATGTGGAGAATTATTCGGTCTCCGCATCGACCTGGTTTGAAGGACACAACGCAACAAGGACATGAGTGATCATGAGTGCTAGCCGCTAGCCAATCCCACACTTCAATTGCATGAGTGTGTTTCCGTATCATCTATAGTCCATGAAACAAATCAAATCTCATACGTTATCGTGAAACTCCACAGCTCATGCCGTCTCGCGCTCGAAGCTTTCTCGCAGCATTTGTCATCTACTAGGCCACGTGGCCCCTTACAGTGTTATACAGGCCACGTGGCCACATGACCAACCTCGCGGAAGAAATGACCCTCCAGGTGTTTTTTATGTGATGACTTGACCGATTTGGTGACAAACAAAACAAAACATAAGACGACTGGGGAAAGTCACCACAAGTCACAAGTCTTTCCGATTTCGGTGGGCCGGTGGGGTGTGATGTTGTTTTTCATTCTGGTAGCCTGGTAGAGGTGTGCATGTATCTATAATACTATATCGCATTTGAACGCGAGCGTGCTCAAACTGTTTTTTGTGGTGGCTCTCGTTGTCCTCGACTCAGTTTCCAAATCCGTCCCATTATTTCATGTTATGATTGTGGTTGTGTGTTTGTGTGCATACTATCTGAGCTTTCTGACATTCTGATGGCCATCATTATGGTATCCAATAAATGACATAATAATTGTTTCCGTGTACTTTAACACCACCAATGAAACCAATGTATATTTACTTATTTTGCATGTTCGTGTTTTCCATCTCATGACAAGATGCCTGACCTTCACGATGTTGTTTGTTCTATTTTTCACCTATTTTTATCTTATTATTGGTCCTATTTTTTTCTTATTATTGGCTTCATTTTTTTCTTATTTTTGCTTCTATTTTCTTCCTATTATTACTTCTATTATGAATTGTATTTTTTTTGTACTATGTGTTCAATTTTCGCAGTATTTGTTTTTTATTTTCATTCTATTATGTGCCTATGTTTTTTCTATTTTTGTTGGTGTTCCTGGCTTCATGATGTGGTCTATTATTTTCCTATTTTTGTTCTATTATGAATTCTATTTTGTTTCCTATTTTTTTGGAATTATGTTGAATTTACAGGATTCCAGGCTTATATAGGAATTCAGCCTCATAAGCATAAGGGTCTGACTTATGAGCGTGTCTTGTATACGTTTCCTGGGTATGTTCTTTGGGGACGCACGCAGAAGTGCCCATCCATAAATTTGGCCGATTTCTTGGATTGGGTCACGGAGTACTTTGATGTGCGTGATGATAACCCCATTAGCATCACGAGAAGGGATGTCCCTCTCAGCCAGGAACCCCCGCCTGAACCCTTCCAGCCCGAGGTTCGCCTTGCCACGTCAGCTGCTTCGTCCAGCGAAGGCCCCCGGAAATGCCGGGGAGGTTGCAAGGAGTTCAACAAGTCGGGGAGTAACGCATACATAGACATGCGGACCTGTAAGAAATGCGGCACCGTCACCAAGACGAAGAAAGAGAAGCCTGTCATAGATCAGGCCACATGCCCCCACACCTCCACCGAGAGGTCGGGTAGCAGTAGGAAGACCTCCCGCATTAAGTGCAAGCTTTGTGGGATGCTTCTAGATGAGCAGCCGCAGACCGAGCGAAAGGCTAGGGATGACGCAGCCACAGTGCTGCGGGAGTCCAACACCCTGGACTTCGATCTTCTGCGCAGCATAGTCGGCAGCACGGGGGATAGCCTCCCCGTAGAGGTAGTAGTCCCGGCTATTGCCCAGTTTCAAGAGACCATAGAGGGTCACTTCGTAACCGAGCCCGTGATATCCCGCGGTGACCTTCTCGCATACCTGCAAGAGGCCTTAGACGATCATTCTGCGCCATCGACCAACAATAGTTGGGAAGTGGCGTCGGCGAGATCGCGCTCCTCGAGGGCCTCCGCGACGAGGCACGCCTTCGTGGCTTTTACTGAGGGGGTCACAGATATCCATCCGGCTTTGGTCGATTTGCCCGTAGTAAATATCTACGAGGATAAGCACGTATACGCCGTGTTGGATGAGGGCTGTAACTCGACTGTTCACGGTAGCGATTGGATAGCAAACGCGGCGGGGAAACTTGCGAACTTCGGTTACAGCACGAGGTTTAAACCTGAGGGCAATCGTACCTTCAAGGGTCTTAGCGGCGCTACCGAGACCTTGGGTAGCAGGACCATACCTTTCTCTATAATGGGATTGGAGCAGGACTTGAGAGTTCCGGGCGTCCTTGATTCGCATGAGATTAAGGGTACAGCCCCTCTCCTTTTGTCCCTTTACGCGCAGGCCCAGCTTGGTATAACCAAAGATCTTCGGTTTGGTGAGTGTGGTGTTAGACTTCCTTCAGAGGATAGCATCATTAGGATCAAGCTGTGTCGGACACATGACTCAGGGCTGTTATGCATAAACATAACAGAAGGCTTGACCCAGGTGAAACAACCCCGTCTCATAAAGAGCTTCCAAATTCCCTCGCCGCCAGTTCCTATATTTAGGTCTGCCGCCGCCGCCGCCTTAGCTCACTCAGAGTCCGTGAGCGGATCACCCCGAGATGCAACAGCGGCAGATGATGCAGTGGCAACAAGTCGCAGTCACAGTACTGTAGATGCAGGCCATGGTCATAGCACTGTAGGCGTAGGCCACGGTCACAGCTTTACAACGACAGCTGAGAATCGCAACAACACCAAGCGACGCATAAGCGTAGCGTTTCCGAACCATTGCATGGTAGGCACGTCCGTAGGAGACACGGAGCCCGCCGCGATGGCCGCAGCAGAGGGGCAGTTGCCTAAGAAGGCGCCCCCAACGGCAAAGGCTGCACCGAAGGTTCTTGCAGCGCCGGACCCTGGCCACAGTGCCATGGCGAAGTCACCAGCGGTCGGCCACAGTGCCGCACCGGCAGGAGGCACTTTCTCCGCACCTGCGCCTAAGGCGCCGCCTGGAAGTGGACTGCCCAAGAAGGCGCCTCCCACGGAGAAGGCCAGGCCTGGGGATAGCCCAGGAATTCCGCCAGCAGCTCGTGCCACAGTGCACCCGAAGGAGATTGCAAGAGGGCACCGCGAGCTGGCCGAGTTTGATGCGGTTGTGAAGAAGGACCCGCATGGCAGGAACCTGGTTATAATGGCAGGTGGAGGACCCCACGGTCCGGAGCTCGACACGCCTCTCCCAGCATCCGTGTATAATCCGGATTTGGCCTTGCAGCCGTATTATGCGGGGGACATAGCGAACCCGGACATCATTATTGATGTTTTTACCTGGGGCTATGAGCACC